ACAGTGTCATTGACATTTTCATTATTTATAGCATTAATGAGCAAAGGACCTACAATACTGTTTTACCTGAAGGATATCACACCATAATTTATCAACATTTTACAAATTTGAAATCAAGAATGCAAGCGTGAAACATGACATTGTCATTAACAAAAGCACTTCGGACGTCATTCACGATCTGCGTTAGTCTGTTCAAGAGTTACTATGCGATGCTGCATGCTACAACATTTTTCGGACAAGCAAGAGTCAATAAAACAGTCTTATCTTTGTTTTTGAGAAAAAAAATTTGTGAGGAATGGTCAATTATGGTGAGGGCTGGTAAAAAAAAACGGGGCAGAAAAATCTGAATTTCAGGCCCTGTATATCGATAAGTGACTAACGACTAGGAAATAAACACGCAAAAATCACAACGTGTCTTGTTAATCAGGTAGCAATGACTATGTTAACTATGTTGATTGAACTAGAGCATCTTACATGTGTTTTTTACGTGCGTGTGCCAAACTTTCAACCTTTGCGTCCCTTCAAGTCGAAACAGTATTTTTCGGAATGCCCTTATCGCATCGCCGACTGGCTAGAGCTGCCGGTCGATCACTGCAGGCAGATGGTCTCATTCCGCGCACGTCGTAGCACTGTCTATCACTGCAGGTGCCGAGGTCGCACATAAGTTCTACACGGATGAGTCGGAGGGCAGCCTGTCGCTGTCCGACAGGGAGGATGACGACGACCAACAGGACGTGCTCGAGGCGGAGACGCCACCGCCGTCGCCCGTTGAACTTCGACCTGAGCTTCCCGACTACTACCCTGCGATACAGGTGAGAGTGAGGCAGATGTAGGAGGTGCGGCCTCGCGCTCGTCACGAAGCAACGAGGCAGCTACGCTCCAGGTAGAAATCTCACTGCCGACTGCGGTCAAATCCGTGTTAGCAAGCACCTCTACAGAAAGGACACCTGTCTATAAAGGACAATCGATGTTTGTTTTTAGTGACCCGGTTGGGCGGGTTTAACTGTGGTCGTCCGTCGTGGCCGACGGCTTTCCCTAATGATTTTTCGTGGTTTTCATTGTTTTTTTTATTACTTTGTATTCTAGACATGTCATTTAAGATAACCACATCCATTTCAAAATGCTAACGGCCCATGCAACTCTAGTCAGATTACTTCAAATGAGAACTCCTATACATTTTGTCGATAGCACGACTAATATATAATTAGGGGATGTGATTGACTCAAATTGTGATCGAAATTTTGTCGCTCAGTGTTGTTACTGTGACGCCATTGTCTTCCGTCGTGCGTTTTCTTTTTTACCCCAATGGGTCGTCTCTCATCTCGTGTTTTTTGCCTCTGCGCATTGTCTCTGATCTCGCAACAACGTCGTCTCTCGTGTGTCTTGCCGCAGGGTTGTCGGAGCGTCGAAGAGTTCAACTGTCTGAATCGCATCGAGGAGGGCACGTACGGCGTCGTGTACCGCGCCCGCGACAAGAAGACCGAAGAGATAGTCGCGCTCAAGCGGCTCAAGATGGAGAAGGAGAAGGAGGGCTTCCCGATCACGTCGCTGCGTGAGATCAACACGCTGCTGAAGGCTCAGCACTCCAACATTGTCACCGTCAGGGTAACTGCCCCGCCGCGGCATTTATTGATGGATCCACTTTGACGTATCCTGTGGGATTTATCGATGGATCCACTGCAGCACTTCCTGTGAGATTTATCGATGGATCCACTGTGACGTATCCTGTGGGATTTATCGATAGATCCACTGTGGCGCGTCTCACTGGAAATTCCGAAGGGTCTATGATTTTGTGTGGTGGTAGCA